GGTGAAAATGCCGTTTAGTTCTGAAACCCAAACCTCCACCATCATCCCATCCCACCCTCATCCTCTACATACACCCTCATATGTGTGCATAGACACTTATATACCTTCCCAATTAATTACATATATGCTTTAGTATTAACACTCTCCATATTTATTCCAGCTGAAAATATAAGAATTTATAAACATAGGTGGCCACATTTGCTATCGAGGAAAAAATAACAAACCTCATGATATCCTGAAAACTATAAAAATTCAAAACCTTATATTCATCCCAAATCTTACAGCATTCTTTTAGCATAGTGATTCTCAAACATTACTTTGAAAGATCTGTCATCTATTTCCTGGATATGAGATGGATAAGAGTACCTATTTCCAGCCGGTGGAGGGATTGTATAAAGGCAGTCAGTTAAAAGGAAATAAGTAAAACGTAGGGCTGGGGTTATGGTTCAGTGGTAGAGCACTCGCCTAGCGCGTGTGAGGGCCTGGGTTCAATCCTCAGCACCACATATAAACAAACAAAATAAGGGTATTGTGTCCACCTACAACTAAAATAATATTAAGTAAAAAGTAGTCTACTTAATCCATAAACTGGCCAGATTCTGGATAAATGAAGAGGAGGTTTTGCATTAAGGAATCAAAAGTATTACGTCCAACTTGTGATTGTTGCAAATATTGGATTCTATTCAGACTTGATTTTAAGAGCAGATAAAGTAAGCCAGAATTAAATGGAGGCTAGGCAAACATCACCTATTCTGAATCACTTCCAAATTTCAGTGGCAAAATAAGACGTTGGTTTGAGCACAGCAACTTCCTGACCTCCCTGTATTGGTAAGACACTGGCCAGAAAAACTGATGCAATTGTGCTGGAAGCAAAGGCAGTCAATTAAAAAACAAGAAAAAAGAACATGTTTATGTTGCAAAATTAAACAATCACATCAGCTTTTCTGAAATACTCTGGAACTCAAAAAAGTAAGCATGCATGCAAAATGTATTTTGAAGCATTTCCATTTAAGTGTAGGTTAATACGTTCCATGTGCCACTTTATATTATGAAAGAATAAGAGAAATATACTATTAAAAAGTACTTGTAAAAAAATAAATATCCCCAAATCTCTTCATCAACTTTTTAAAAAGACAAACACAAATTAATGCAGCCTATACAATTTAAGAAAAAGTATTTATCTTTTTGTCCCAACCTCATTTGCCAGAAACACAGCACATTGTTTGTGGTAAACACTTCATTATCATGTAAGAAGTCAAATATAATTTGCAAAAATGAGATGTTATAGAGGAAGGAGAAGATGAAGCTTCAGTCAGTATAGAAAAGACTACAGAAGTCAACTCCTGCCACACCACGCCCCCTACCATCAGTCCACCAGAAACACCAGTTGTATGTCTAGAAGACTTGCTGCTTTCAAAGAGTTTTAAAGAAGTTTGCATTAAGTCCCTGGTTAAAATATGGAAAGGATTTAAGATTAAGTCATCATATGCCAAGTTCAAAAAATTCTAAGGGATCATAACAAAGTTATGATTTGTCTATCCACTTTCAGTAATTCAGCCTGAAATGTAGCTTACAATCATTCCAAAAAATATAATCAAATAACCTCATTTGTCATACAAATAAATCATAAGAGGTCCATAAGACAGATATAGTAGGGGTTCGCAGTAGCTAAAAATGACTGTGCATTGAAGTGGGATAAAAGGGCCAATGTTACCATGTAGACCAAACATAAGCTGTCAATCAGATTTCCAAAATGTTGGTATGTGTCTTTCTTCCACAAAGATATTCATTCTCAGTATTGTGTTTGTGCCTAATTTATAGAAAAAAAAGGAAAAAATATTCTAGCTGGAGCCCATTAGGGACTATCAAACACATTTTCTGATTTTGCTTCAAATATGGAGAAGAAAAATGCAGAAGGAGATTAACAGAGTTGTTCATGATGGTCTCCCCCATACAAAATTTTGTCCAAAAGTATAGAAAGTTCTACATTCTATTTTCTCAATCCTCTGGCTGTATTTTGAAATAAAACATAGAGTTAAATGATACATTTGCGCTCTATTCCAGACTGGATGCAATTGATTTTAACTGACTAAATTATCTGATCTCTGCCAAGAATTTTATTTCATTAAGAAAATGATATTATGGAGCATCTGAGATCATAGAGCAGACTAAACATAATGCCAAAGGAGTTCTGAGAATGCTCCACAGTGAAGGTTTGATTATTTGCAGATGGAATATGAAAAAAGAAAAAAAAAAAAGGTCCCAGGGGAAGCCTAACCAATCCTGGTACCACGGCCGCCTACACAGGAACACAAGCCAAGAAAACAACTGGTCTTCCAAGCTACAACACCTTTTCTAAAAAGTAGTAATCACTTTTCTTCCTAGAAAGTAATATTTAACTGCCACTATACAAAACAAAGGAGAAAAGGGAAATGTTGGCACCACAATAAGCTCTAGCATGTCAACTGTCACTGCTGACATGATTTGGCTAGTAGTCAGGCATTCACCAAGAAACTAATTTAAATCAATCTCCTTTGGGAAAGCCAATTGTTTGGTATGCACAACAATGGGTATAGGATCAATCAGTGGACATGAGATCAATTAAAACCAGCTTAAGTTTGTGAAGAGGGGCAATTCACACAACTTGAGTTAGATCTCTATTCATTTCAATACCCTCACAATGCAGTCCTTAAGCTTCCTTGCAAAGCAGAAAAGCTACTATCACCCTGCACTGTCTAGCCAGCCCTTTAAGTAGTTCCACTTTTAATTAAAAACACAGTACACTCTTTGTTGGCACAGATAGTGTGGTCACTTTTAAGGACCGCAGTTATTTTAGCTAGAAACTTGGGATTTGGGAAAGGACATCTGTTGGGGGTGGGGGGGTGACATACTTTGATAGAATTTTTTTTTCCTTTTCTTTTACAACCTTATTAATTTATATGTACTTAAAAGCATTCAAAGTTTATGCAATGGAAAGGTCAGTTTGGCCACAGTTAATATTGCACACTTTGGAACTGGGTTTCTAAATGTCAGCGCCTGGGGAAGTGGATAGTAGCTGCTACATGAGATTTTGCTAAGGCAAGCTTTGAAGGAAATGGGTTCTGCCACAGGCAGAACCTTAGAGATGGCCCTGTGGAGGAACATGCAGTATCGCTTCTGGCCGCAGGAGTGCTGTAATGTCATTCTCCAAAGAACAGCATCGACAGCATCACTGCATTAAGTTCACTAAAACAACGTGCTTGATTCTTCTCCACTCAAACACAATGGGACAGGCGGGGTAGATCAGAAAGCCATCACTCAATAGTAAAGAATTTGTCCAAAGGTTTTAGATATTTCTATATTTTACAAACCTTAAGCACTTTAGTTTTTCAACTAGGCTTCAGCTTTTAAAGGGGGGAGGGAACCTCTCTAAATAATTTTGACTGCAGTATAGCCAAAAATTCCAGCTTCGCCAAATAATACCTAGAAGGAAAATACTGGGGTGTGGAAGGAGGCGGAGAGGGGCTTTTTAAAGTCATATCAAACTCTCCTGGCCTGTAGAAAGAAGTTTCTCCCTTGTATTTTTAGATAGGGCGATTTCTAAAAATAAGCATTTTCTAAAGTCAGAACTGAAAGAGATGTGGGGGTGGGTGTATGCATCCTTAATGTCCAGAGATACATGTCAGCAATGGAAACTGGTAGCTGGAGAAGTCTCACACCAGTCATATCCAGCTCTGCCCTGGGGTGGGTCAACCTCCAGCTCTTCCAATGGTGAGAATTGCTTAATGATACCCTAAAAAATACCCATCAAAAATAAGACTTGAAAAGGGCTCTCCAAAAATCTAAATGTAGGGCCGCAGGTTCCATAAAATGAGTTATAGACAAATCACATCACAGGTCGAGATGTTTATATCGCGGGGGTGGGGGTCAAGATCTATGACTCTCTCAACAAATTCTAACAGCACCAAAGTCTGAACTGCAGGAAGGAGACAAATAGTTCTCACCAGGTAGGTGCCTGCAAAGGACTTCTGCACACATTCCCTGAGCGCATAATTCAAGGGACGTGTGGCGGTTCATGTTTAAATCCCCCGGGAAGACTTAATTGTGCCTAGCTGCACATACCCTAAAATGCAGTTGGATGAGCTGCAGGCCCAGCAAGACTGCAAGACCGAAATAAGCGCACAATAAATCTGTAGGAAAGCTAGTTAATTCTCAAAAACCTTCCTTGAGGTTTGCATCCGCTTTCCTTGCTGCTCGCACAAGTGATGGAGAGGGAGCGAGCGGTTAAAATGCCGCAAGTGAATTTCCTTGTGCACAGAAACCCTACTCCGAAATTGCTGCTTTTGAGGAAAACAAATGGAGAAGCAAAGCGGGGCCTATTTTTTAAAACATCACGCTGTAGGCAAACACTCTAGAAAGCCAACGCAGGAGTAGCTGGTTCATTCAGAAAGTTCTCATTTTCGTCTCAGTTTCCCGAAAAAAGAGAGCAATGGTGCCCTTTTCCTGGAAACGCAGGTTCTTCAGATCAACTTGACAGAAACTCTTACCCAGCTCTTCAACACCCCCACCCCCACCCCCATATGTTAAGCCAGGTCCAAGCAATTGGGGCAGGGATTTGGGGGCACGAAGATAGAGGAAAAAAAAATGGGCTTTAGGGAAAATATTAAGAGGACCAAAAGAGAGCAAGCAAGAAAAATGGATCCCAAATAAGAAATGAGACCCAAGAAAGAGTCCCGGAGTGGAGGCCCAGGAACGACCCGGCGTGTGAACCGCACGACTTAAGAGCTGAGCGCTCTAGAGACGCCGGGCTCACCGGGCTCGCAGCGCGTCTCATTCTGGCTCACCGCACCCACCGGGGACAGAAGAGACCGGCATTCTGCAGCCCTCTGGGTCTCAAAAGAAAAAGAGAGGTGGTCCGCAAGAGCTGGGGTGTGAAAAGCACCGTCCTGCCCATTTGAGCCCCCGAAGCCCAGTGGTGGGCGAGCACCTGGACACCCCCGCCCACGCGGGACCCCACGCACCTTCAGCTGAGAGGGACCCACCTCGCTTACTGCGTCTCCATCGATTGCCTTGGCAGTGGCTGTAATCCATACAGTTCAGAATGATGAGGGCAAAAGAGAAGAGGCGAAACTGCATCTGGACGGTCGGGCGGAGGAGAGTCGCCTCTCAAAGTAGGGGAACTGAAAGGTTCATCCAAAGAGACGGCGCCGGCTGCGCTGCTGGGGACGACGCAGAGGAAGGGTTGCCACTAGCCCCGGGGCTGCACTGGTCAATTCGGCGCGATCAGCATCTCTTCTACCATGAACCTGAGAGACGAGGAGCGAGAAACAGAGTGGATGGAAGACTGAGAGAATCCCGGCCAGGCAGCTGCGCCTTCGCGCGTCCCAATTTAAAGAAGGGAGGGAAGGAGGAAGCAAACCCAATGCCTGGCACGAGCCACGGAGCAGCCTATTGCAGAGCGTTAACAGCTGCAGACGACTTGGAGAGGAATTACAATCAGTGAATTAGTAACCTCTGCCGAGCTAAGGGCTCCGACCCGGGGTAAAAGTGCGGACGCTCAGGGGAATGAAAAACGCTCTAAAAGCACTGAGAGCGCAGAGTTAAAAGAACATTCTTGGGCCCTTTAGGCCCCACGGTGGGGTACTCAAGCGCTGCGGCAGCAAGGTGTGGGTTGCCTACCGTGCGCACATACGTCTCGGGAGGCAAGGGGTGCCTAGTCGCGGCGTTCCATCCCGAGCTCGGGAAGCGAGCCGCTTGGTTAGCACGTGGGCTCGAGAAAAGTTTGCCAACACCCGCCTAGAGCTCCTGGCGGCTCTGGATTCCGGTCCCCGCGGCAGGGTCGGCACAAGCTGAGGGTCCTCCGGCCGGCGGCGCCTGGCAAGAACGCGGCGGGGCAGGCGTTTCCGCAGCCACTAAGATGCTGCGTCTCCACCCGCGAGTGCGATCCCAGAGCCAGGGGTGCTTCGGCTTTCGGCGTTTCTATCCAACTGTGCTGCTTCTCGGGCTCTCTCCACGGTCACTCCCCAGCTAAGGTTTCTCACTGACCAGCCCGTGAGAGACAGAACACTCTCGGGAGGCCAAAGGGATGTGGCGAGCGCACTTTCCAATGGAGATGCAGACCGACCAAGGCTCGGGATGCCTCTATAAGTAGGTGGTGGCATCTAAATCCAGGCTGCCTCAGCGTTCCTGGGTCCTAAAGCCAGAAACTCTTGGGTTTCCCTGAGGTCCTAAAGAGAGCTGACCGCCTGTAAGGAGCCTAACTCCAGGAGAAACCCTTGCCGAGCTTTTCAAGAGGAGATGGCCAATGTGAACAGCAGCTCGGGTCACAGGCGCCCCCTGACCTTGCTTTGCGCGAGAGACCAGCGATTCACGCCCAATTCGTCCTCTCTAGCGCTCTGGGATCTGTTCCAACCTTAGCGCTAACCTTCCTGCAGGGGGATCTGAGGAGGGACTGATGCCTTCTACACTTTCCTTCCCAAGCTTCAGGCCAGGACCGCTGCTACTGACAAGCACAATTTAAACTTGAGCCACATTCCGCAGGAAATTTACATCTTGGCTTTGTTTTATAGGAAGAGCTGAAAGCAGACTTCAGATCTGAAAGCAAGACTGAAATCAAAATGTACAGTTTAGGGAGTGAGATGAGTTTTTCTAATAGCTTTCCCTTGTCCTCAGAACTGTTGTTTCTTGACTTTGTTTTTCCTGCTGGACATTTCATAAAAATGTGTGATACCTTGTCTGCAGTACTTAAGAAACTGGGACCCTGATTTTTTTTTTTTTTTTTAAGAAAAATTCACTTTCTGTTGGTGTTTCTCATTCTTAGTTCCCCTCCCTCCTCCCACTTTGAAATTTTCCTGAATTAAACTTCCAGGTGTCTTGGGTTTGAGGGAATACTCAACTCAACAAGGTTTTACATTAAATACACATGCTTCTACCCTATTTCTTGCTGGTGAAATCTCCTGCACTCAATACTGTAGGGAAGAACGTATTTGTCCCTTAGGCAAAAGATAAGAATTTATACTGCTAAGCATGGCAGTATGGACGCCTCTATAGACATGCTCACAGGTACTGTATTATTATGGTAGCATTTTATTTAAATTATTAAAAAGTTTCAGAAGATACTCAGAAATTTGAGCCAAGACAATCATAAAAAAAATAACATCAAACTACTCATGTTTGTTAACTATTCCATTATACCTGCCTATCGTGATAGGAATTTCAATATTATGCCCTTTATGCATGCCTGAGAACACTCAAGTGAATCTGAGATGAGGTCATTGGTCCCACTTCATAGATAAGAAAATCCAGCCCTGAGACTGGCCCACAGGGCATGAACAGAGTTGACAAAACACATTGCAGAAACAGCGAATCTGTTTCTTGGCTTTCTAAGTCTTTGATTTTTATCATAGAATTTGGAAGCAATTGGAAACATTTCAACTTTGGGAGTGGTGCTGCATTCAGCATAATGACTTGATATTCTACTGAGTCTCTCCAGTATCATAAGTACCACTTTCTCCCCCATATACTCACATGCATGTAGCAGATGTATTGCACTAATAAAGGAGTAAAATCCATGGAGGTTTATGTAGCATGTCCTGCGTTCAATCCCTGCTACCATTATGTAAATAAACAAATCCTGGGGGGGCGGGGGGGATCAGGACAGAAAAAAATCTCTAAGTAAGCTCCCTGCCTTCCTGAATGGTTTGAGGCCCATTAGGTATCAATGATGGTGAGTGTCCTTTCAAATGCCTAAAGAAAAATAAGCACAAACCCAAGCAGATTTAGCTCCACCATTTACCACCAGGATTACTTTGAGCAGCTCTCTGGATCTCAGTTTCCTTGGTAGTATTTTCAGGAAGTCAGGCCAAGGTCACTTTCATCTCTATCATGCTCTGGCTTAAAATCAATTTTCCATTTTCTGTTGAGATGTTTACTATGGGATCTGACCAATGTGAGGACAAACTCATTATCTCTTTGTAGAAAAAGAGACATCCTTGTTAAATTACAGACCTCTTTCAACCTTATCCCTGTAAAGATAACTTTCCATAATTTTTGTCCTTTGGGTGGCACAGTTGGCATTTTTAAAACCAGAGATACTTTTCAGTTTAGTGAACTTCCAGATTAAGTTCATGAAAAAGAATTGTAACAACCCCACTTCTGTAAAAATATGCTCTCACTTCTGGTTTCTCTTTACCGTCACCATTCTCTTCACTGAACTTCAAAACTCTGCCATGCTTAGTGGGAAATTTAAAGTCCCATGCTAAATCTCTGGGGCTAATTTGTTGATAATGCAGGGAAGGGTTTTTTGGTTTTTTTTGTTTTGTTTTTTTTTTGGGGGGGGGGGGGTTGTTGTTATTGTTGTTGTTGTTTTGGGGTTTTTTTTGGTTTTTTTTTTTTTGCATTTTTTTCCATTCACTGAATATTTTTTTCTGATTTCAAGAACCCAGGAATGTTCTTGCTACTCAAAAATACAACCCCAGTGGATCCTAAACTATCATTAACTTTAATCCCATATCTCTGCTTCCTTTCATTTCCAAATTCTGTGTTGTCATTGAGGCTCACAGCTTACAGATTCTACATTTCAGAGTCTCAATGAACTTTTTCTTCAAACTAAATTTATATTGTGTTTCATTAAACTAGGCTTGTAAATAGATATGTGCCAGTGTCTGTGTACAGAGAAGCATACTGATGATATTTAAGATGTAGACTGCGTATCACTCTTAGGCAAAAGAGAAGGTTAACAGGGGCCTGGAGTAGGGAAAGATGTAGAGACTAGAAGCAAGTTTTGTATTTTGCTCTTTTAAGTTTGAATTCATTCAGATAGCTTAAAATCAATTTTTACAAAAGGATATCTATGGAAAAGGCTCTCATACCTCTCTCCCCCAGGTAGTGAGTGAGTTCTCCTTAGAGATAAGTTATTCTTGTATAACCTACCAGGTTCTGAGTAGACTTCAAGAGATATTTTGTGTTTATTAAGCAAATATATATGTGAAGATAAATGTGTACATGTGTGTGTGTACATCCACTTGTAATATATTCTTTCCATTTTTTATGCAGCAGTATTAGTTGAATACTTTATTCGCTGATCAGCATCTTGTTTCTTCAATGTACTTTACAGTTCATTGAACATCAGTTCATAGAGAATGTCCTATTCTTTTTATACATTGTATATCTTTTCATTGTCTGGCTATGTTGAGCCAGCTGCCTACTGATAGACAGTCACATTGTTTTCATTCTTTTTCTGTCATAAGCAAAGTTTTAATTAACTCTCATAGATCATTTTATAAATTCCTTCAAGTACAAAAGTTGGATCAAACAGTTAGACATACGTGTGTGTGGTTTGTTGCATGTTTTCTACAAATTGTTTCCTGGGGACGGGGGAGTCTATATTTTTTTGACTTTTGATACTTGTAAGCAAAAAGTGGTAGCTCAGCATATTTTCACATGGGATATTTTTCCCTTTAAAGGCCTTTACTATGTGTTAGTCACTTACATTGCTTTTACATGAATTCTCTGAACATATCATCTGATGCTTTTTCTATTGTGTTCCTGATCATTTAGTTTTGCTTTTTAGAGTATAAACATAACAATATATATTATGTTGTGAGATTTGAGTTACAAATACTTTTCAAACTTTATCATTTGTCTTTTATATTTGTTTCTAATGAATACTAATATAGAGAATAATTTTAAATATTTTTACATAATGAAATTTGTCAATCTTTTATAAATTCAGAAAGGTCGTGCTTGAAAAAGCTCTTCCACATGCCATTCTCTTTAAATTTCCATTTTGGAGTCTGCTAAAACTTACTTTCAATATAAAGAACCTCAGAAAGTTAATGATTTTTTATGACTGAGCAATGAGAGCTAAAGATAGATTGAAATTTTTCTGAATATTTAAACATTTAGGTTCACAGATTTGGTTGATTTTGGCATTGATTCTTGTTTTCATTAGCTAATTGATTTAGAGTTCTCTTATCTTTCATGTTATCAGATATTCATATTTTCAAATTCAAATTTTCCCACAATATTTTTATTCATTGTTGATATTTGTTCATGTTGTATATTCTCTTGTAAGCCAGAATTTATCCTTTAATAGCTTTGGAATAAATTATGGCATTTTTTGCTACTATGTCAATATTAACTGTATAAGTTTTTTTCCTTTAAATATAAACAAATGTCTCTTTTGCTAGTTGCCTATGTTAGCACATGTTCATTTATTATATTTTGTATAAAGTAATTAAATCAATATGAAGGATCTTCACCAAGGTCAGGACCAGTCCTTATCCAGGCTAATTTGTTGTTTTTAAAAAGCATATCATAATCACTTATTTAACATTTGAAAAATGTGTAAATATTTGACTCCTCCAAATGTTAATACTGTTCTGCCACTTGAAAACTGTACACTGATGTGATAAGGCCTATTTCTTGATTTGTTCTCCATCCCATGGAAGAAATCCAGGAGGCAGTTTTGTTGACTTCAAAGGCCATTCAAATCAGACCAGCTTAACAGAGAAAACTCAAGATTTGACCTAATGTTTTAGAATCATTTCCCTTACATAATCCTTTATGTCCTAAGCTTTTTTGAACTACAGTAATTTGTGTCATTACCATTCTTTTTCATGTAAAAGTGGTTGCTAGAAGGAAGCATTACTATACTACATTAAAGAGAGATACCAAAGATTCTCTGTTTCTAAAGAATTAGGCTCAGTCCCCATTAATATAAATAGAATGTGTGTTTTCATTGTGTTTACCATACTGAATTAGCTATGCTTATTGAGATAAACATAATTGCTAATAATAAGAGATAAACATAATCCCTAGGACCAGGAAATATCCTCCCCGGAATTTTTTTTCCCCCACTGGTATCCAAAATAGCTATACCTTTCTAAACATTTGATTTGGTTTTTAAGTTATGATTATAATGAACTGTGCTACTGCTCAAGAGCAAATCTGTGGCTTACCATCAACAAGTGTATAAGACTTTATAACTGGCATTTTATTTATTGGTTTCATTTCTTCATATTTTTACCCATATTTTCCCTTTTCCATATTTTTCTCACTTATTTTCAATATATTTTACTTTGCAATGTCATATGCATCTCACTTTAACCTTGGAACAATACAGAAAAGATTTTTTAATGTCTGTTTTTTTAGTTATGAATAACCCTTTATTTTTATTTATTCATTTATATGCAGTTCTGAGAATGGAACCCAGTGCCTCACACATGCTAGGCAAGCATTCTACCACTGAGCCACAACCCCAGCCCCTAGAAAACATTTTTAATAATAAAATATATATCATTTTTTATACACACACACAGAAAGTTCAGAGAATAAATATTCAGGTTCTTCTAGTTGGGGAAATAAACATGCAGTGGTTTGGGGATCAACTGGGCCTACTGGGAGATAGACCCAAGCTAACCAAGCCCAAAACTTCATTAATCACTCAATTTTTATAGGTCCCTATTCTTCTGGACCACAATTTTGGGTGTCAAGAAATTAATGTCAGTTTAGAGTTAGTATTTTGTATTCCCCCAGAGTCTGGTAATTTCCCCTTCACAGAAATATAGTTATCTGAGTAAATGGCCCTAGATCTTGTAGAGGAAGGCCAGAAAAAATATTTAGAGTGAGGATACTTTTCCAGAGCCTTGACCTCTTCATGCAAGAGATTCTGGGGCCATGAACTGGCTCAATTCTGAGATTGGCAAAGGAGTTGTGACTCTCTTTTGTGATGATTTGAGTTATACTTGCAAGCCAGACCAAAAGTTTTTCTGTTATACAAATCAAGTATGACATAGTTGGCTGCCCAAATTGTAACTACCAGTTGTAACCATATTACTAGTTGCAAAAGCACAGACTGTAATATAAATATTTCTTCCTTGATTTGATACGAATATCAAATATCAATGTTTTATTTCCTATCCTCTGCAAGCTCACATGAGAAATATGAACTGTACTTAATCTTATATCTCATTATTTAAACTAAAGAATATGAAATAGTGAGTGTGATTCAACTAAAACAATGAATATTACCCCAAGATGAAAAGGGCATCTGAGACTTTGTGTGTCCTCTTTGGGAAGAAGGTCAATATGTTTTTCTGTGGATAGGTGTTCCATGTTCCATGGAATCACAAATTCACTTTTGTCTTTATTCAGAAATTAAATGTGGTTATTAGGTGAATATTAGATCCAAAATTGTCAACAGATGGACTGTTGTGGTTTGTAGTGTATCATCTGGGTTAAATTGGAAACTATATTTCCCACACCTCTTGTTGTGCGATGGATTTGGAGTGAGATCTGGCTGAAAGAGGGATTTAGATGAGATTTTGGAGATGGACAGAAATAGAACAGTGGTTAAGACTTTCTGAAAAACTTTCACAGTAAGATGCAATGAGGGACAGAAGCTGAAGTCCACCAAGGGAACAGCTTAAACTCTCCCTTTTGCTGTACCTCCAGCTCTTCTTCCTGACTGGTGGTCCTGCTGACCTACAGAGACCCCAAGCCTGCTACTCTGGACTACAGTGTAGTCAGGAGCTTTTTGTTGGCCTCTCCATAACATCCTCTGTGGCTCTCACACTGTGGTAGTGACACAAAATGGTTCTCAGATATATTAGCAACTCTCCTGATTCTCTTTTTTCCTTTCCAGAACTTCACTTCCTAGCTCCTCTCAGAACTGTGTAAGACCTAATTCCTGTAATAAATTCCTTATCCACAACATCCAGTGACTCTATCCCTCAGATCAAACCATGACTGATACAAGTATTTTTTATTGATTTCCCATTTTAAAAAATAAAAACTTACTTCCTTTTGCCCCTTCTTTCCCCCTGCACACCATCCTTCCATCCTTCAAATATAGTTTGATCAATATTAAGTAGTTGAATCATTATGACTAAGTATGTTATTAAGAGCTGAGTCACAGTCAACTGTGAGTACAAGTTACTTTCCTGTACAACTTTTATTTTCTCTGCAATCATCATAATCTTGTTCTTCTCAGCAGAATTTCCTGTGCCCACCATGAATTCAACCTAGCTTCTCTCCTGACCATCTGAATCATCCCTTGATATATTCATTCACACCAAATAGGCCATTGATTCATCTTCCTGAAGGCCCTACTGAAGGTTCCAGTGTGCTTCAGCTGAACAGGATGTCCCCTCACCATCTTCCTGGGGAGTCCCTTTCCTGCTTATCTCTGGTGAATTTGTCTCATGTCTTTCTCTTTCTTGGTCCATTGTGGTATAGGTCATTTTCTAAGAATTTCCTGAAGATTTCTATAAAGGGCAAATGTTTTGACACTTTGCATGTATAAAAATGTTCCTATTCTATCTTCACAATTGACTGTTTGCCTGGGTGTAACGTTCTAGATTAAAAACCATCATCATTTAGTATTTAGAATTTTGAAGTATTTAGTATTGTCTTTTATTTTCAGGAAGCCAAGGCTATCCTAATTGCTGATCCTTATTTATGCTCCTATTGAAGATCATTCCCCAAAGCTTACCAGTCTGAAATTTCACTGGTGTGAATCTTTTTTTCACTGAATTTTCTGGAAGCTACATAGGCTTTTAAACTTGCAAATGTATGTCCTAATTATTTATTTATTTATTTTGGCAGTGCTGGGGATTGAACCCAGGACTTTATGCATGCCAGGCAAACACTCTACCAACTGAGCTATATCCCCAGCCCACTGGAAACATTCTTAAATTATTTTATGGATGTTGTCCACCCCCTTCATTTTCTCTCCCTTTTTTGGAACACCTATATTCAAACATAAGATGTCCAAGAGTGGTCCTCTAATTCTCCTACATTTTCTTCCCTATTTTTCATCTCTGTCATTTTTTCCCTCTACTTTCTGGACTATTCCCTTAGCTTCATCTCTCAAGTCTTCTAATGAGTTTTCCATTGCTCTTCTCATTTTTTTTTTAAATTTCCAAGAGATCACTTTTTCTTTTTAATTTTTTCTTTGTATATAGTCCTCTTTTTTTTTCCAAATAGCTCTTCCCTATGTTTGGTCTTTATTTTTCATCTTTGTGGATTTTCTTTGTAATTGGTAATTTGGAGATATTTGCTTTTATTTAAAAGTGAAAGATAAAAAAAAAATTGATTAAAAGCTCTCAGTAACTGATGCTTACTTTTCAATTTGAGTTTACCTTATAGTAAAAGTAGACCCTACATAAAATGATTGAGCTATCTATGGAAGAAATCAAGACAGAATTTATTTAATTATTTTCACTAGAGTTAATCAGATTTTCCAAATAAAATTTTGTCAATATTCGACCAAGCAGGGGACTACTAAAGGAACAGGGAGGGTGGGGGTGGACAGTTGTTGTCCTTTCTCTTATTCTTTCTTTTCTTGTAGACTTTCCCACTTTTGGGGGGAAAAAATTGTTTGACTTTGGATTTCAGTTTGGTTTCAGGAGAGAGCAAAATTACAGGTATAGAAGTTTGTAATTTGTCTTCATGTTTTTCAGTAATACTTATTAAAGTCCTTTATAATGACTCTGTTATGGGTGCTGAAAAGAGAAGATAAGATCTTTGCCTTTATGGGAATTTCATTTCAACTGGAAAAAGGTAAACAATAATGAATAAATAAATAAAAATAGGATACTGTCTTTGTCTTTCAAAGGTTTATTTTATTTTAGTACTTTTTATTTTGATGAGATTTTAAAAACTCCCAAATACCCTTTCCTAGTAGCACCAATTAATTAAATTTTAATTCATTTGCTTTATCATTTACTTTATCACTACAGTTAGATTTTTTACAACTAATTGACAAGTTTTAAACATCATCTGTTACTCCTAAATACTTCAGTATATACTTCCCAACAATACCGTCTACTCACATAACCTCAATATGTCAGAATTATTATTTTAACATTGATAAAATATTATCTAATCCAGTATATATTCAAATTTTCTCAGCTGTCAAAAAGGTCTGTTATAAACTACTTGTTCCTCAAACCAAGAGTGTATCCAGAATTATACACTACACTTAGTTGTCAAGCTTTATTGTCCCCTTTAGTCTATTTTTTGTCATTAATGGCTTTTATATTTTGGAAGAACACAGTGTCTTAGTTTTCATCACTGTGACCAAAATACCTGAAAAGAACAACTTAGAGGAGGAAAGGTTTATTTTGTCTTACAGTTCCAGAGGTTTAATCTGTGGTCTGCTGAACCTATTGCTCTAGGCCCAAGATGAGGCAGACTATCATGGTAGAAAGGCTTGGCTGAGAAGCCCTGCTTGAAGCAGAGAGAGAGAGAAGGAGAAAGGGGCTGCAGGAAAGATGAACCCTTCCAGGAGATGCCCCCAGTGACCCACTTCCTCTAGCCACACCCCAATTGCCTACAGTTACCACCCAGTTAGTCTTTTGGAACTAGGATGGACTGATTAGGTTACCCCTCTCATTAGCCAATCATTTCACCTTTGAACATTGCTAAATTAACCCAGGAGTTTTGGGGTAACACCACATATCGAAAGCCTTACACAGTTACAATAATATGGTAAGCAAAGAAGGTGAAGGTTTAGATTGGCAAAGTAGATGACAACTAGATTTTAAGTGAACTGAACTTCCATGGTAACAACTATGAACTTTATTGTCAATGCACTAAGGAGGTTTTTTTTTTTTTTTTTTTTTTGTATATATAAGTAGAAAGTGTAACATTCAGTTCTACCCAAATAAGATAGTTACATTGGCAAAACTGAGAATACATTGGAGGGAAACCAGTTAAGAGTTTGGTTGTACAATAAATGTTGGCAAAAATGTGGGGGAAATGGTACACTCATATATTGCTGGGGGGACTACAAATTGGTGCAACCACTAAGAAAACTTGAAATGGAACCACCATTTGATCCAGTCATCCCACTCCTCGGTTTATACCCACAGGACTTAAGCATACTACAGTGACATAGCCACATCAATGTTTATAGCAGCTTAATTCTCAATAGCTAAACTATGGAACTAACTGAGGTGCCCTTCAACAGATGAATGGATAAAGAAACTGTGGTATATATACACAATGGACTATTACTTAGCCATAAAGAAGAATGAAATTATGGCATTTGCTGGTAAATGAATGGACCTGGAGAATATTATGCTAACCAAAATAAGCCAATCCCAAAAAAACAAAGGCTGAATGGTTTCTCTGATATATGGATGCTAATTCACAATAAGGGGGTGGGGGGATAGAGGTAATTTGGACTAGACAGAGGGGAGGTGAAAGGAGGGGAGGGGCTATGAGGGTAGGAATGATAGTAGAAAAACTCAGACATGATTGCCCTATGTGCATACATGATTACATGACCTGTGTAACTCTACATCATGTACAACCAGACGAATGAGAAGTTATACTCCATTTATGTATGATGTGTCAAAATGCATTCTACTGTCATGTATAACTAATTAGAACAAATAAAAATATATTAAAAAAGAATTTGGTTTCAAAAAGTATATATATACTTATGTATATCCACATGATTTGTCATATGTGATAGCAACTGTTATATGATATATAGACATAAAAATGATTCTCATTATTTATGAAAATTATGTTCTATGAAGTCTCTATGAACATTAAATTAGCCAATACTGAAACATTGCTCCTAGGAGAAATATAGGGTCATTTTCCTAAAAGCCTTTGGTCACAACATTTTTATCAACCAATCACTACATAATTTTTTTATGCATTTTCTATATAAAGATATTCTTCTATATTACTAATTCATTAATCTCAAACTGATGGCAATAGTACTGTATCTTATGCCTGAAAAGAACTTATTTAACACATGTATTTTTAATATGAGGCACATGACAGTGTTATTGCCCTTAGGAACACTAGACAGAACTTCAGTGCTATGTTGAGAACCATTTTAAACAGAAATCAGCACAAAAGCCATTAGACCTTGAGAGTAGTTGCTTAACTTAGAAATTCTGAATTTCAGTATTCTTGGTGGGGGTGGTCCTCTTGTCGGAAGGAAAAAGAGAAATTCAAACATAGGGTATACCCTGGTTGAGAAGCAAAATAGGAAAGCATTCTCACAATAAACTGGCATCCCAGCTACACCCTCAGTGTCAAGGCAGCTTGATAATAAACCATCCTTCATTATTCTGAATCCCAGATTTACATCTCCTGGTTGGTCTAGCAACCTAGAAGCACTAAATTTGAGTTTAGATGATCCTGGCCTTGTAGTGCCCACAGGTGCTGACAGAAAAAAAAAAAGTGAAAACCTTTCTGTGAATAAAGTAGCTTTATTATAGATTCTCATTATTCCTGCGAATAATTTTTTAAATATGATGACTAGCATCAAATAAAGGATAACCAGACACATATATACACAGAAAGATACCATGAGCAAGAAACATCAAACAGACACACAAAGACTGTAATGATAGTGTCATCTTGCATACTAAAAAGCAACCGTGCTTTAATGTATTTAAAGAAATTAAAGAAGCTTAACAACATATGCAGGGAATAATATTGACAATGAGATGGGAAAAGACTAAGGACAAAAAAGAAGAATGTGGGGGGGCAAGCACTAATGACAACAAAATTTTGAGGAAAGAAGAAAAAAAATTCTCTTTGTACCCACAAATGTCTTTAAAATGAATAAAACCAGTAATAACACATTTTTATCAAAATGCATAATTAAGCACCTACTACATAGCAGATATCTGTTGTTTTTACATGTTTATTTTCCATTTCTCCCTTCCTCTAAAACAGCAATCTTATTTCCCTAAGGGGTTACCATCCCTGTCCATTTACAAGGGAGGCCTACCTTCTTCCATACTCTAAAAGTAGTAATGTGACCCTAGCCCAACATTGACACATTCCATTCCCCTGGTCATTATGAATGATTCAGGAGTGAGACTGTTTACCAAGACAAAAGTAACACTTGCTGGAACTTCTGCAAGAGCTGGAACCATGGAGGTTGCTAAACTGGGAGCCTGAAATCTTGGAGCCATGGATAGAGAGATCACCTGTGAAAGCCCAAACCAGGAAAACAAAAGTCAAAGAACAAAAATAGGTTCCTGCTGACATCCTTTAAATGCAGTAGTAGCATCTGATCCACAGACCTAGATAGTATGGTGGTATTTTTTTTTTCCTATACAAACATATGACAATAGGCTTCTTTTGGCATATCTGATTTGCCAGCAAATCTACTCCTGTGCTTTAGAGTCATTATTCAGTAAAATAGGATTATTTGAACACAAGTACTGCAATACAAAGTCAATCTGATAACTGAGACAGATACTACATAACTAATTCACAAGTAGCATATATGGTGTGGATACGCTGGATTTTACATTTAATATTTTTAGACTGTAGTTGACAACAGGTAAATAAAATACAGAAAGCAAAACCAAAGATATGGGAGATTACTGTGCCTAGACTCTATGTTATGATTTGAAAGTCACTTCAAAAACTCGTGTTAAATTTAATTGCCATCATAACAGCCTTGAGAGGACCTTTAGGAGTGTTAAGGTCACTAGGCTCCACCTTCATGAAGGAATTAATGCCATTATTGCAGGGGAAAGTTAGTGATTGCAAGAGTTGGTTCCTGATAGAAGGAGTCTGGCCTGACTTCTTCTGTCTCTTGCAGGCTCACTTGCCCTTCTTCCATCTTACATATAACACAATATATAGGCTCTTGCCAAATGCCAGCTCTTGGACCTCTATGCCTCC